ATTAATGATGGAATTTTTATTACATCCGAATAAATTCAACATACAGGTGATGGTTCGCTGACAGGGGCAAATTTATTCCGACAAGAATGGCCAAGTTTGATTCAGGAATTGTTAGTAGCTGGAAGAATTAGTCAGCAAGAAATAGAATCGTGCAAAAATATTCAAGTAAGCTTGCAAACTTCTTTTGTAATCGTGTTAAATGATTGTATCCCAAATGCAAGATGCGCATATAATCTTAGTTCGCCTCTCATTTCTAGAAAACAGTAACAAGGATTCTTTAATCCTACGTTTTTCTACTGGATGATCTTTTTTTTCATTTCTTTTAGAAAGTCATTTTCCCATTTGCAAAATTCACTATTACTATAGTTATTTATTCAAGTTTTTTCCTTCCTAGATTGTCGGCCTTGTGGGTTCCATTGATAATGATTTCTGTGGCACTGATATGACGATTGGTACCGATACTGCGCTTCAACGAATCATTGATGCTGTCGATTCTGTGGTGTCAACTGCGCACAGTCACCAACGTACCTTCGTCATTGAAGTGATAAATTATTCCTTACATGTAGAAATGAGTCAAAAATGTAGGAATAAGTCAAAAATGAAGTCAAGGAATAAGTTGTACTGTTTTTTGCTGTCACTAACATGTATTCTCTAACTAGCTTTGATTCCTACATCTTATCATATCATGTATTCTCTGCCAATAGAGATATTTGCTATTTTCGCTATCTCTCTTACTTTAAAAAATTTATTCTAAACAACAAGGCATAGGTGATGGGCCGACACTGCGGTTATCTGGCACTTGTAGCTGCTTTAGCATCTGAAGCGGATTTCTGCTTTATTCCTGAATGGCCGGTGCCAGTGGATTGGCCAACAGTATTGTGTCATAAGCTACAAGTAATGCGACAGGAAGGATCACGGCTGAATATTATCATAGTTGCCGAAGGAGCATTGGATCGGGAAGGCAAGGCGATTACGGCCAATCAGGTAGGTAATGCAGGTTTTATCAGGAATTGTCATTACCAAAATTCCAAGTTAGATTATCTATTGTTAAATTCATGCGTATTGTAAACTTTTGAAATAGGCTTAGAAATGAAGTCAAGTACTTTAATTTTCGAGTTCTTTTAACCAGAGAAATTACAGGTGCGAGATGTAGTAAAAGAGAAGCTACACTACGATACACGTATAACCGTGCTAGGTCATGTGCAACGCGGTGGAAGTCCATCTGCTTTTGATCGACTTCTCGGATGTCGAATGGGTGCTGAAGCTGTGCTTGCACTGATGGAAATGACTCCAACATCGGAACCATGTGTTGTTTCGATTGATGGTAACGCTATCGTCCGGGTACCACTCATGCAGTGTGTTCATCGTACCCAGGCTGTTAGTTTCCAGTTACTGAAGCAGACTGTTGCAAAAATTCCGTGAACTACCCAAAAATGAACTTTACCATGTTTTGTTCGAAATTTAAGGCAAATATTGCCAATTTTTTTAGTTCTTTCAATATTTTTTGTTAAATCAGGTTAGATAATTTGAAACAAATAATTTGAAGGTTCAAAAAGCCATGGAAACACACGACTGGGAGACAGCCGTGAAACTCCGAGGGCGAAGTTTCCAGAGAAATCTGGAAACTTATCGTCTTTTAACAAAATTAGAACCCAAAAGCGATTTGCCATCAAATGAGCCATCATATAACATCGCCGTCATAAATGTTGGAGCACCTGCTGGAGGTTTATAGCTTCTCTTACTATTTTATTGATATAAATATTATAATTATTAAATACTTTTTGCATAGTCGCTTCTGACATGATTTAAGGTAGGGCAAGTCTCGTATTACGTATTCATCAGGTATTGCATTAACAATAGATTGAGTTTTGAAAATCGTCAGTAATTTCGAGAAATTTGCCGTAAATAGTGCCTTTATGGTTAATAATGATTAGCTGTTGAAATGTTGACATTATAAAATCGCGAATGAAAGATTAAATTTATAGGAATGAATGCAGTAGTGCGTTCATTCGTTCGCATGGGTATTTATCGTCGCTGCAAAGTGTATGGTGTTAAAAATTCATTTGAAGGACTAGCAAACGGAGATCTAAAAGTAAGGGCTTTTGTTAAAGGAAATTTTAATTCTATTTAGAAAATTAAGCAAATCATGCTGAAAATTATTTTTATACATGTAGGAAATGTCGTGGAAAGATGTGAACGGTTGGGTCATGTATGGTGGGTCATTTCTGGGTACCCAAAAACAACTACCGGAAAAGAATATGGATCAGGTTGCTGCAACATTGGAAAAATTCAAAATTCATGGATTACTGATTGTTGGAGGTTTTGAGGTACTTCTTAATCTTCTGATTTCTGAAAAGAGATCACTAATTGCTTATTATATTTGGTGAAAGAAATTCGGATGTGATATAATGGTGGCTATCAAATAACGCCATTTGATGAAACTGACAGAAAAATGACGAAAAATGCTGAATTTTCTGTCAGAAATCACATAAAATTAATTTATTCTAATTGGAAACCAAAACGAAGTAAACTAATATTTCAGGCCTATCACTCTTGCTTGATGTTGTCACATGCTCGCAGCGAATACCCATCACTTCGTATTCCACTTTGCGTAATACCTTGCACTATCAGTAATAATGTGCCCGGCACTTCAATTTCTTTGGGTTCTGATACAGCAGTCAATGAAATCTGTGCAGTCATTGATAAAATTAAGCAATCTGCGACGGGTACTAAAAAACGTGTATTTATTGTGGAAACAATGGGCGGATATTGTGGATATCTGGCAACGCTTTCGGCTCTTGCATCAGGAGCTGATAATGCTTATATATTTGAAGATAAGTTCAATGTCAGTGATATCATTGAGGACGTTAAGGTATTTTCTTTATGTACTGTCTTTCTGTTTTGTATTTTGTGCGTCGAAATATTTACCAGAAATAATAGAGAGTCAAACTATTGAGAAACATTTGACCATGTGGGAGATTAGTATTTTTTAAAACAAGGTAATATTCTAACCCAGGAATTTGACTACCACTTATGACCTTTAATCAAAAATACCCGAAGCAATTTCTTTTTTTTTGAAGTTGATTTATCTGTTCTTAAGGTTATTGCTCGGAAAATGCGTACTGGTGTACAGCGATATCTCATTGTTCGTTGTGAGTTGGCTAACAAAAATTATACTACACAATTTGTTAATCAACTCTTTTCGGAAGAGGGCAGAGGACAGTTCTCAACAAGGTAACTGAGAACGTCTTATATTGTGAAATATCTTTCTAATGAAGTACAAGTTGAAATATTGTTCTATTCTTTATTTTACAAGTCACATTTTGAAAACTTGAAAAAAAGGAAGGCAAAGCAAAAATTGCTGTCAACTTCAGTTTGCGAATATCAGCATAACAATTAGTACCACAAAGTAATTATACGCCACTGAGCAAAATGAGCATGTCAACTGACGGGTCACAACCAGTTTACAACTTTACTTTTACAAATAAATATTTATATTGTTTTAAAAAAGCTGTTGGAAGGAATAAAGGATTTTGTTACAGGATCAACGTTCTAGGACATGCCCAACAGGGTGGTAATCCGACACCATTTGATCGTAATATGGGTACGAAACTCGCTGCAAACGCTCTAGAATTTATATTAGCTCAAGCAAAGAAGTATGTTGACCCAACAACTGGAACAATCAATGCAACTGCTGCTGAAAGCGCTACACTTCTTGGCCTAAAAGTAATTTGTTTGCTAGTTAAAAAATTATGAAACGAAAACTATTAAACAATAATACGTGTTAGTATGAAGATGAAGCGAAGTTTAAATATGTGTTAATATGAAGCGGAGTTTTATTCCAGGATCGGAGAATGGTACTTACACCAGTTGAAGAATTGGCCCAAGAGACCGATTTTGAGCATCGTTTACCGAAATATCAATGGTGGATGAGATTACGGCCACTGTTGAGAATATTGGCTAAGCACGATTCTACTTACGAAACAGAAGCGTTCGCTGTAACAGATGTCGAGAATGAAGTTGATTAAGTACCATTGACATACAACATATAATTTAGCAAGAAAATGCATTTTCTGGACTTCTTATTTTCAAAAACTCTTCCACACTCAAGATTTCTAAAATATTCCGAATACATATCATTCAGCATGCATGGTGTCTTCCAACACTTTAAGTATCGGTTATTCTAACACTTCGCTTTCTTTTCATTTCTCTGCCTAGTTCAAGCAGTCCAGTTATGCTGTTCATACGCTCTTCTCCATCAGTGAGTCTTAGAAATATTCAGCAATTTACAATAGCTAGCAAATATTACTGATAAATTTATTCAACGAAAATTTATAAACTTTTCATTACAGTTATCTTACTGATATGATTACTATGTAATTACAAATGTATTATTGTAGGATACTTTCATAATTCAAAACTGGTATAAAAATTCAAATTAGAGATTATTCTTGTTTTCCGATCTCATTTTTATCATCATGAATACACATGTTAGTAACACAATTTGTTATTTTGAAAAATAACAAAAGTGTTCTCTATGCAGGCAAAGGAAAAATGTGCGGGTTGATAACAGTAAGGCAGGTCACCAAAATTCACTACGAAATGAAAAACAACTGAAATATCCATCAAAAGCTGAGAGGTTGCGAAATGGAGTTAATGAATTTCAGCTGACAAATGGAGTGAGAGCAATTGTTTTATTGAAATATAACATTTCATTTATAAAACAGCAATGTGAATAAAATTTAGCATACTTACAACAAATTAGACTGAAGTAACAAAATGTGAGAATTGCAGTTGTTCAACATTACACCAACTGTGATTCACGTTTGAACTATTCAAATTAAAAGAGATAGATAAAATTTATTTGAATTCTCAAGTAATGAGCTAATTTCGAATTAATTCATTCATTTAAAAGACTTCAACCTTTCAAAACAAATTCAAAATTTCAATTGTTATTTGTACAATTTATGTAAATAATGCTGGACTTTACTACTTCGCCTTCAAGTTTCGAATGTTCGTGCAAGTCTTGCATCAACAGTTGCTGGCTTATTTTTGGTGCCAATGTGCTCCATAAAGCAGCGTTTGATATTTTCGAAGCGTTCATAGCAGGGTAGGTAGGACAAGTCCAATTTCGTCACATTTCCCGGTCGCTGCAAAAAATAAAGCTGATATAAATTATGTTTGAAACCTTGAAATTTTGCTGGAATAAAACTGATACCTGATCGCAAAATGTAAGACACTTCCTTCCAGCAAATGTTGTTGCAACGTTATTTCGTATGCAACATTCTGTATGATCCAGTCCACCGGCAGCACAATATGATATATCAGCTAATGCTGACAATGGACATTTGTCAAGTTGTAGGTACATAGCCTTAATCGAAAATTGATAAATATTTAATAGAATCAAAATTTTTATCGCTAGTAAATCATTTGCATATTCCTTGAGAAATGAAATGTGCAAAAATGGAATTCGGCAGACATCTTTTTCAAATTCAAATCATTACTTGCAGGGTATTCTTTGTGTATGTCATATATGAACATTTTTCCAAGCAACTATCTGGAAGCAGTTGTTGAACACAGCATTCATAGAACCGTTCATTAGCCACTTGTGCGAGATTTAAATTCTGGCGCTACAAAGAAAAGAAGGAAAAGTTGTAACAATTCATATTTCAACCATTTTATGGAAAGTATTCTTTCACCAAAAAGTCGGAACTGTCCTATTTTTAATACAACTCACTGGTGGTGGTGACGCAATATAACGCGAAGAAAAATGTTAAATTCGACTACATTTTAATCACTTCTTTGGTAATTATTTTTAAAAAATTTATTCATTATAAATTTAAGTTTCTTATTAGAATTAAAAAACTCAGTACTGTTCAGAAAGTAAACCTAACTATTGCTAACGATTAAACAAAGTTCTGTACATTTCTTTTCGGTTTAATCTTTTGTCACAAATTCATAATTTTAAAGGTACATTTGCAGCAGGAGCAGCGGCTACAATAGCGACAGCATCATTACTCCTAGGCTTATCGTTGACCGCCTCCTCAAGTATTTTTGAGGATCGTGCACGTGCTCTAGAATAGCAGCCGTATTGTCCACATGCATATCCGGGAGCACAACCTCCAGAACATACGGGAGCTGCAGGTTGTGTACAACCATAACCGTTACCGCAAACTCCAGATGAAAAGCACGCTTTGCCGACGTGAATGCTTACGTATAAGAGAATAAAATTTAGTGTACCACTGACCATAGCAACCTCAGTTTACTTTCGGCACCAAAGTTCAATCTGCACGACTTAAGTAGAGTTTTCATGTGACTTCACAGGTTAAAAACATTAAAAAAACTTGTTTGTCTCGTCTTTTTACTATTTAACGTTACTTAAGAACGCCTCCAGTTATCCAGTTCCAATTTTTAATTTGTTAAGTAAATGATAGTCTGAAATCCGCAAAATGAAAAATATGAATTCCATTTTCCCAAGACAGAATAAGTGGAGAAATTGGAACGCTAAGGTTAATCAAATTTTTTTTTAAAGACCATAAAGAAGAGTTGTAGAAGCAATTGTTGGGTGAAAATGTTTCCTTCGATGTTGAAGAAGTAACTGATTTATATGATAAAATTTTTGGGGCTTAAATACAGAATATGAATCTCCTCCCACCATCTCTCAAATTAACCATGAAAATTTCATCAAATAGCTAATAAAATTCATTTGAATCATGTATGACAGGGAAGTTAGTACAAAAAGAATCAGAAAATGAGAAAAGGAAGATGACGGGATAGATCCGGTTCTAATTTGCTAATAACTCGCTTTTTTACAGCTTTCTTTTTCACTTTTTTCGCTGGTTTGATCGACCTTGCTGACGATAATTCGGATTCACTATCTATTGCCAACGGCATTCCAGAATTCGTTCAATTTCGTTCCACTTAATAGTCTAGCAAATCTTTGTTCTTAATTTTTCATCTGTCATTTAAACTTTCGCTTATAACAACAAGATAGAGAGATTGTAGACAGAATTACTAAAAAGATATTTCGAAAGTTTCCAATTTTTATATCTGAGCAGATATGGCAAGCTAAAGTAGCTAAATATGTTACAATACACAGTATAGTTGATTTGGGATACTATCACAGGTCATATGTTTCGGATATATTTAAGAACCTTCGTACCGTTGATAATACAAAAAAATTTTGAAGTTCTCAAGAAATAGCGATTCCAAGAGAGTATCTTAAAAGAGAAGTATTGCAGATCCTATCACTGCCCAAAACTTGGCCTAGGCTAACAGAAAGGATAGTAGTTTTTAAAATTATTATCTGAGCACTGCAGTTCGCCACATAAGTAGAGATAGGAATGAACTCGATATAGATTTGCCATCTCTTTAGCTAGAAATCTTCGTGAAGAAAAAAACTGTAGTAAAGACTCAACCTCTAATATTAATTGGCATTATAGCTAAATGGTTGAGTTATAGCCGTGAGAAATTTAGTCTTTCTACTGAACACCGGGATAGCAGTACTGCTTTGATGCTTGTGTTATTGTCGGCTCGTTGTAAACATATCATAGCTGTTAATTCTAACCAGTTGGTTTAGAATTTGCACCATTCAGAAAAACTCGTCTTCTCTTCATCTCCATGTATTTCTTCCCATCCATTGGATTACAAAACAAAAAGATGAATAATCCAATAACTCGTTCCTCTTCACCAAATTTTGAAAACGAAATCTCTCAGATTCATGTAACTTTCTTATGCATGATTTCGGAAACATGCAACTTCCATCGAAATTTAAATTGTCCCTACTTATCGGAATTTTTTTTTATAAAAATCCCTAGCTTCCACAACTTCAATAAACAGGGAGCGATATTGGTTCTGCTTCCATCTTTTACTTGTTTCAGATGTTTGATCATCATTGAAGTTCTGCTTGTAATATCGGCAATCTTATTAAGAAAAAACACAGATACAAGTTTCAAAAACTAGAAGGGCAAATTATTTCTATTAGCGATGATTTATGCAAGAAATTTCCCTGAAAATTAATCACGCAGTTTATTTGATGAATTGGCCATTTTACATTCCACATGTATAAAAATTTCTGAATTTTTTGAATTTACTCTTTTTTTAGTTTATAGACAGGAATAAAAATTATATAAATTTTATATGCCTAACTACTGTTTTGAAACAGTTTCGATTTAACTTTTGACTTCCACATGACTTTGCAGATATGTAAAAGTCTTCTATGTCCCAAACCCAACATTAAATATATACATGTATTTAAATTTTAATTCATTATTTTTCAAGCACTTTTCTAGTTGTTCTTAGATCTGACATGTAATTTATTTTACAAAATCAGCAGCAAGATAATTCTGAATCTTTACTGTAAATTCTTTTGAATGTTTGCAGAAAATTTAAGCCTCAACGCAATATGAAACGACAATTCCGTTTTCATTCTGCAATCCGTATAAATTATTTCTTTTTAGTGAAGAGTGTTTGAAAAGTTTAATATTCCTATTTGCAACAAAAAACGAAATATTAAAAAAACCAGTTCTGGCACAACCGATAACATTAGCTTATAAATACTTCCACAAACGGAGTAAAATTTTCAGCATAAAGAGAGTTATAATCCTCAAGCTGGACTAACTAATTAAAGTGCATATATCAATTTCAATTGTGATTGATAAACGAATTCACTGTGCGCGACATCTAAAACGCTTTTTTAATGAAACTTATCACACGGAATTATCAAGGGTCGGACAGCATATCTGATGTTCCACCGCTTGCCATTCACAGAAATCGGCTTGCCAGAATTTCCGAGAAAAAATTACCACTTTTTCCAGTAGCGCCTGAACATTCAGCTTAAATTTCAACTCACAAATTCTATTTTATACCTCCGATTTCAAATTTTTCGTCCTTAATTCGTTTGTAATTCGCATATATCACCAGGGATGAATAACAGGAAACAGCTTTCTGAAATGAATTCATCACCACGATAACGACACTACTCTCGCTGAATTCTCCGGATCTACACTCCGGAATACCAGCATTAACAGTCCGATTCCACCGTAGCGCATTTCCGACTCTTCCCAACAAAACCTCTTGGAGACTTCGCACCTTTCACAATACTGTCACTCTTGCACTCTCTTCATTTCCATCTTCTCTCACTCGCTGCTTTCCATTCCGTAGCTGCCTCTGCAACGTGGAAAGTGTTGTGAGCATATATGAAATAACTGTAGGGTGTGAGGGTGGCGTGTTACGTGTTTTGCTTTTTGACGCCTTTGGTACGTGCTTTTCTCTCTTTATGCCTCTTCTTTTCTTTTCACTTTATCCCGTTTTGTATGATAAGTAATATGTTGATTTTGACAGTTTTATGTCTAATAAACATCAATAAATCAAGTAACAGCTATATCTGAAATTAATCTTGCAAATGAGAAAATTAACGGGAGGGAACTTATTTAATATACCAGCACACTCCTTGAGATTTTTAGTTAAGCATGTAAATTATATCAGAAATAGAAAATTGTCTCATTTTTTGCTATAAGAAATGTTTCAGTTATACTTATACTCTTTCCGCTAATTCATCTAAAATCCACATCATCTGCATAATTTTTGTTGGTAGCTGCTGACGAATTCGTAGCTAGTGAAAGAAATCGTTAAGAAATACGGTAATGTTGTGGTGGAAGGATCATATTGCTATACTGGTTGTCGCCTCTTTAGTTGGTAGTACCGATGTGCTTTCTGGTGATATTACAATTTCCGCAGAACGAGTGATTGATATATCGACACAGGTAACATCGATTTCTTATTTTCCAAAAATTTACCAGCCATTCAGTGCAGTGTCGCTTGTAATAGCATGACTATATTCTGGATAGGTCATTTTCCGTGCTTGAACCTTTGCAACAAAGCGTTAGAAAATTGTTGCATTAAATCTGCTTGTTGATCAGTAAAGCAGTCTTTTTCACCGGAATTATGACAACTGCATGAGATTAAGAGCAAAAAAAGTCATATAAAAGGCCTTTTTCATTAAAAAAAACCTGTGGTAGGTTAAGCTTTTTTTACTAGGTTAATATACATTAAAGTATAATTGTTGCTACAAATATATATTTACGTTTTTCTTCCAGATAGTAAAAATAACCAATAAGTATGAAATAACAAATGATGGTGGTAAGGAAATCAGTAGTTTCGTACATTTAGTCCACGAAAAGGAGTACTTGCGGCTTGCATACATTTCTGCCGTTGCTTCGAAAAAAGATACGAGATTAAAAGTGTCAATTATTGAGAATGGAAAGGACAGTATAAAAGAAGGATTTGTGGCTTATAAGGTTTATTTCAGTTTTCTAAAAATTTTTGGTACTCGACTGAATGTTATGTGGAATTGAGGAAAGAAATTATCATTAAATTTTATTTCTAGATTGAATTGCTAAACAGCATTCCACCAAATGGCAAAACTTTGATTACCGTGGAGTACCAATTGACAGAATATTTAGAGCTTCATCCAAAACAAATCACTCAGGCTGAATCACAGTAGATTTTTATTTCGTTAAACTCTTTGTTTTTTTCTAAAGAGCTGTCTTCTTTCTCAAATAGCTGAATTCCGTTTTAGATAGTCCCATCAAGATTGTTGATAATTGTTTGCCGAGACAAACAAAATTGTTGCACATTTTAATAATGTATATTGTGCATCAACTTTGTTTTTTTTTACTATGGATGGATAAGACTTTCAGTGAAACACCGATCAGCTCAAATACATTTTGACGGTTGTTTCAGAGAATTTTTTTAACCATGGTATCACTGATGTATAACTTTCCTGATTCAGGTTTGCTGTTTACAAAGGAAATGCACACGTTCCGAGTATTTATCCAATGAAACAAGAGAAAACTGTGATACTTCTGCCCAGCGGAAAGCTTGAATCTCGTACAACAGTTTCACCAACATCAGTTGACAGTGGCAAAATAACTTATGGTCCATATATAGACCAGAAACCATATGCAATGGTGAGATTTTTAGTTTTATAAAAATAAATGAATAAATAAGTGAATAAATATTGGAAGTCGAGACTTTAAAGTCACACCTTCCTAGTTAAAATAACTGTTTTAAACTGTAAATTTGTTTGAGATGGAAATCGTTATACACTGTGAAAACAACGCTCCATTCGTTGTAGCAACTGATGTCGTTCGAGTGATTGAAGTTTCACACTGGGGTAATATTGCTGTGGAAGAAGCGATTAGTGTTGTTCATAAAGGAGCAGAGTTAAAGGTATTATTGACTTTAGTTCAGATGATTATTATATTGAAGCTATTGTAATATCCTCTAATGTTCACTTTACAGGGTTCATTTTCGCGTCTTGATTTCCAGATGGATCGAAGAGGCAGTAAAAGGCCAATAGTAACTCAATATAAAGTATGTATTTTGTTAAACTTATAAATTTGAACTGTTTGTATTCATGTTTACATACTTTGGCTTATTTCAAAGGAATGATTGCAGACTTTGCTACCTGCATCGGCGAAAGATATTTATTATCGCGACGAAATTGGCAACATCTCTACTTCAGCTGTGCGGAAAATGACAGATGTTGTTGAATTAATTGTACAACCGCGTTTTCCACTAGTCGGTGGATGGAAGACGGATTATGTACTCGGTTACAACGTCCCAGCTTATCAATATCTTTATTCATCAGGCAATAAATTCACATTGAAGATGCGTATTGTCGACCATCTGTTCAACGATGCTGTTATTGAGAAGTTGAAGTTGAAAATTATACTACCAGAAGGAAGCAAGTAAGTGTTTACATTTCACAGTTTAGTTTTATTTTGATTTACAATTTTTACTTGTAAGAAAATGGCTAAGACTGTTGCAGTTCTCCGCTTGATATTCTCTTTTTAGGAACTTTAAATTGACAACACCATATCCTGTGACGAGACATCCGGACGAATTGCATTTCACATATTTGGACACCACCGGTCGTCCTGTTATCACAATTGAAAAAGATAACCTTGTCGACTTCCATATTCAGATGTTCACTGTATGTTTTTTATTTAGGTGGTTTTCCTAAAACTTTGTAGATATGCAGTGAATCGTATGATAAACTGGAAAAGTTTAATTCTGTATCTATGATTGAAAGTGAAGAAATTTGTAGATTTCCATTAGTAAACAGATTGCACGTAGTGAAGAAATTTGTAGATTTCCATTAGTAAAGAGATTGAATGTAGTGAAGAAATTTGTAGATTTCCATTAGTAAACAGATTGAACGTGCTAACAGTCACTACACAACAAACGATACATTAATTGTAGTGAAGTAACGTAAATTTGCTCTAATGTGTTAGTTATTTTTTACAATGAGATTTTACAGTTGTACTATGAATTTGACCGTATGCAACTTTGGAGAGAACCTTTTATCGCTTGTGCTGCTTTTGCAACTTTGTTTCTT